TAGGGAAATACGTCATCACGTAGGGAAATACGTCATCACGTAGGGAAATACGTCATCACGTAGCCGTACGTAATGACGTATTCCCGTGACGTGGGTGGAGCCATGTGTTTGTTAAGTGGAAATCCCCCTCCTCCTTTCACCGTGAGCTTCTGTACGCCACAACTCCGTCTGTTTACCATGAAAAAAGCAAAGCGGGAGTGATTTAAATATGGAAAAATAAAGATTATATGAGAAATAAAACTACAAATGGCTCGTTGCTGCCCGCAATTCGGCTCCTATCATTCATCGTAAAGAGCCGTTCAAAAGACTCGGATCGTTCACGACTGTCACATCTCTAGTGAAAATATACACAATATTCACAACAGAACAAAAATACATTCTGTTCCATGCAAATATTTGTAAAACAACAAATAAAAATAAGGTCAGTAATGCGAATAAAGTAAAAAACAAATTTGCCATTGTGCTTTATCTTTAATCCAGCGAACAGGATTGTGGAATGGTCTAGAAATTAATATTAAAAAATGCCAGATCAATATACATATTTGAGAGAAGGATAAAAGTTAGTTTTTTTCTGCTGCCTTTCCTTTAAATTTATCTTTGATTTGTATATTTTCATTTTCTATTGTATATAGTTATTTTGTTTTTAATGAAATGAATGCATGTGGTTCTGGGGGCGGGGCCACAGGGGCATTGGCCCCTGCTGAAATTTGATTGGCCCCCTGAAGTGCCCCTGTCCTGTCACTCATCTGTCCTTTGCCCAAAAGTGATGATTCTGGGTGCAGTTCTACGTCTAAACACTAGAGGCGCCAATGAGCCAAATAGAAAAGTCCAGCATGAATCAAGCTGACAGAGGTATTTTTCTTTTCCTAAAATTTGAACAATCCTGCAGAAAAAGTCTTTCAACTCACACATGACAGCTGGATTTTCTCACATTCTTTGTGTTTGAGAGTATTTTATCTATGTAATGTAAAATTATTGAGGAGAATTTTCATTTTGAAGCTGTTTTAAAATTACATTGTACAAGTGTTTAAACGTGACTGGTTAAATATATGCACCTTACCAAAACCAGGGATTTGTGTGCAAGGATGCTGAACAAACACTTAGACCCTCCATGAATATTGTGGCCCCCTGATGGCCCCTTACTCAGAAAAATCCTAAATCCGCCACTGTGTGGTGGGCCACTTTTAGCTCACAGACATTAGTTTGACACGTGTTATAAGGAGACGTGCAGCAGGTGAGGGAATTAAAGGAGTTTAAAGGTTAAGGTACCAAAAAAGGGGAGAAAATATAATTAAAAAGTTGATTTCTTTGAGCCAAAACACCAGAGTCATGGTTTAAAGAGACACCTTGCAACAGGTACGATATTTACTGTTCATAACCTTTCTACAAAAGCTTGAGATTTCCGAAATGTAACTTTAACTTTTAAGCGAGCTGGGATAAATTCCGCTGTGTTGTGCTGGAGAAACTCCCAAGAC